TACTACCTGGAGGTAGACTTGGAATCGATGAGTATCTTCTGCAAAATATTCGTACATTTCGCGGGCCCCGTTGAACACTTTCAAGGCAGAATCGGCGACATCGGATTCGATGCTTGTGTATGGAATGATCGCCCACAGGGCGGGCAGCTGCACGCGACGGCAGCGAGCGTCGTGTTCCAGGAACGTTGGACTTCGAGGGCACGGCACAGGACGTCTCGCGCTGGAGCAGGACGATAAGTCGCAAGGGGCCCTGGACACTGTAGGGACATTTGCATTTACGTGTAGACGCGTGGCGTGCATCCACGTACCTACGGATACGTACATGCACATGCATTGACAGAGGAAGTGCTGCTTCGAGAGACTTGATGGGGCCCTGAGAGCGTTCCTGCGGAGCTTCCTGGGTCCTGGCATCTCCTATGGACCCCTCCCGAGCCCCCTCCCACGTTCCCGTCGGGGTCAGACCTGCACTTGGTCTGGCATGGCCGGCGAGCTCTTGCAGGCTTGTCGCCATTGCCGAGGGTATCCTCAACCATGCGCAGGGGGGGATATGGGGAGGGGGGAAGGCTTCTTAGAAGCACCCCTGCTTCTTAGAAGGCGCGCTCCTGTCTGTAGATGTAAGGCCAGCGCCTTCTAAGAAGCTGTCTCCTTCTAAGAAGCCTTCCCCCCTCCCCCTACTCCCTTGTGAGCGTCGCCAAAAAGGCCTTCCTCCACAGGGGAGGCCTGATTGCAGGTGTGGTCTGATGGCGATGTATACTGGGCAGGCAGGTTGTACACGGTCGGCTCTCTCTCTCTCTCTCTCTCTCTTTCTCTCTCTCGGACACGAGGCCACCGTCGTGTGGATGCTCCGTCCTGGGATTCCGGCGATGGCTGCCTCCGCCGCTGACGGGCAACCAGCTGGCCGTGCGTCTCTCTCTCTCTCTCTCTCTCTCTTTTTTTTGTTTGTTTTCTCGCTCTCTCTCTCTTTCCATCTTCGGCCGTTCTGCGATGGGGCCCGAAGGGATGAGGCCCCAAGAACGGGTGCCCTCAGACAGTGACTGCTCTCAGCTTGGGATCCGCCTCCAACTCTTAGGGCCCCAGCCCTCAGGGTCCCATCTGTGAACCTCCTCTCTCTCTCTCTCTTCCTCTCTCTCTTTCTCCCACCCTTTTTTTTGTTCACTCTCTCTCTCTCTCTTTTCTCTTTTTTTTGGGAAGACGTTGGTGGCCCGACCTCTCCTCGAGGGGTCTGCTCCTCCTCGACTTTCGGCCCAGGAGGGGGAGGGGGAGGAGGAGGTGGAGGAGGAGGAGGAGGAAGAGGAGAGCGAGGAGGAGGAGGAGGAGGAGGGGGAAGGGAGGAGGAGGAGGACCAGTGTTAACCCAATACCCATCAGCGATCTTGCAATCAACCCTCCCCCCAAGTTCCCGTATACAGGGGTTCATTTTCACTGAGAGAAGTGTCCCGTTGGAAGACAACCTGTTGAACATCCAGAGTTGTGCCAAAACACGATTCCTGGGATGTTAACGCCGCGAATCACAATTACTGTTGCGTATTGACGATCCAGAGTCTTATCAGAACACCATTCCAGGGGCTTCAACAGCGCGAATCAACGTGACTGTCGCGCCCTGACATTCCGACATCGTTCCAACATGATTCTCATTTCTTGGACGTTAACCATGAGAAACCTCAAATTTGCTGCAAACTCTGAAGTCGAATGTGCTCGGCGCTAAGGCGAGAGCCACATTTTGAATAGGATCCGCCCTCCGTCCGTGAAGTTCTTACGAATTTTGGAAACGACTGTGCGCGGCGCTAAAGCGAGAGCCATATTTTGAAAAGGAACTGCTCTTCATCGGTGAAACTCTTGCCAGCATTTAGACAAATGTGCGCGGCGCTGAGGCGAGAGCCACATTTTGAAAGTGAACCGCCCTCCATTCGTGAAGCTCTTGTAAATTTCAAGCTTCAGGATCATTAAAGGTGAGGAAGTCTCAGCCAAAACGCCCGGCCCGCTTTTTGCGACAGGGAGGAGTTAGTTATAAGAAAAAGAGATGGAGGAGGATGAGGAGGATGAGGAGGATGAGGAGGAGGAGGAGGAGGAGGAGGACGAGGACGAGGAGGAGGAGGAAGAGGAGGAGTTGGAGGAGGAGGAGGAGGAGGAGGAGGAGGAGGAGGAGGAGGAGGAGGAGAGATGAGGAGATGAGAGGAGGAGGAGGAGGAGGGGAGGAGGGGAGGAGGAGGAGGAGGAGGAGGAGGAGGAGGAGGAGGAGGAAGAGGAGGAGGAGAAGGAGGAGGAGGGGAGGAGGATGAGGAGGAGGAGGAGGAGGGGAGGAGGGGAGGAGGAGGAGGAGGAGGAGGAGGAGGAGGAGGAGGAGGAGGAGGAGCAGGAGGAGGAGGAGGAAGATCTTTTTTTAGAGGGCGCTGGAGGCCCGATCTCTTCCCGAGAGGGCTGCTCCTGCATCCGCCCTCGGCCGTGCTGGCCAGCCGGGCGCCCGACCGGGCGCCCTTCCACCGGGCTCCCCGCGCGCCGAG